GAACAGCTACTTATCGCAGTCTGATGTTGGGTGCTGTTCTGTTTTTTGGTGCAGTTGGGGAATTGGCCCAAAGGCAAAACTTGCTTGGGTAGTTCAATAATCATTGCCATCAATGGGAATAATGTGGTAAACCCAAGAATAGATATCATCATTTAGGTTGTATAAACATGTATAAACCAGTCTATGATTGGGTTTAGCTCATTGTGTAACAGGCTTTCAGCAAAACATGCCATAGCTTAAGATCTACCAACTGCAAAGCTATCAACGGGTATCTAAGATTAAGTGAACCGCAAGAGGGTTTTTGGCGTACGGGAGGCAAACGCAGATTCAGCCAGAGCCCGTGGAGGACCGTGGTCATCCATGACGACTTTATGATGCAAAGGGGTACCCCCAAAACTTAGGGAAACCTCTGTGTTCTAGAAAACTCTGTTTATTTTTAAAGATCATTTACCCTCTGGTTATTTAACAGTTCGCCATGGAAAATCACCATGCTATTAATAGGTAAACCATCTGTTTCTATAGGCCATCTATACCATGGCTATGTTAGTCATAACCACAGGGTATGTGAATTGATTAAATCCTACATCCAGATAATTTGTTTTTATATCCATATATTTTATACAAGATTATGATAAATAGATGTTTAAGATCCAGCAAGAGGGGCAGGTGATCTGCTTTCAACTAGATGTACAGGTTACACAAGCCGTGCCCGGCAGGTGATCCTTCGCAGCCACCTCTGGGCAAATCATGGCGGCTAGTTGTTTAGTAGTTCAGTTCTTTGCGATTTTCATGGGATATATGATACTGGTTGGTGGTTTGGAACATGTTTTTTTTTTCCGTATATTGGGAATTTCATCATCCCAACTGACTCATATTTTTCAGAAGGGTTGACACCACCAACCAGGATATATATATATATACATAATTATATATATACATCAATCTGCAAAGAAGTTACTTACTACATCTTGGATATTTAATTGTTCATGGGGAAACTAGAAATTTCAGTTACCTAGCTAGAAAGTACATATTGCAATGTGTTGCAGTGTATCCAAGATTAGTTGTGAGATGCCATGGGTGATCGTCCACAGTAACGCGCCATTTAACATCATTTATTCTGGGTTATGATCTCAACCATATGTCATTTATTGGGGGCTATATCCGATGGCAAAGGCACCATATCCGATCCCAGTATCCATTAGATCTGAACCAATACATGCTGGGCCAGGTGGTTTGGAACATGGCTTTTATTTTGTTCCATTTCATATATGGGATGTCATCCTTCCCATTGACGAACTCCATCATTTTTCAAGATGATTAAAATGATTAGTCAACCACCAACCAGCATATGAAATGGGGGTTAGTACCCACAATTTCACGGATTCCGATATATAAGCATGGGTACTAACATAGATATAAGTTCATATATAAACACCAACCATCTATAAGCTTTTCCCAACCAGCATATATAAGCCATGGTCAAGTCACATGGGCGGTGAACAACCAAAAAGAGGTGAGCCATGGTGGCATGACTTTATATCGAATCGATGCCAACTTGATCATGAGACGTATAACTAGGAGATTGGATAGAATGATTATGGTGTGTGTATATATGATATATATATATAGCCAATATATGATATATATATACAGTAGCCAAGTGATATTATATCCCATTACACCATAATCATGGCGTATATATATCTATATATATATAGATATGACCATATATCTGGGTAAATTATAACGACCGAACCCTGTTCTCCCGAACCCTGGAATCATGGTTTATAAGGGAAATCATCCCCAAATGGCCGAACAATTCAGGTTAGTGAAATATTTTTATTTACCCAGATATATCCCATTACATCCCCATGATATCCCCATTAAACCCATGTGAGCAGTGGCTGCTAAACCCCCATTGGTTTATGATTGTACTGATAAAACCAATATAAATCAATAAACTATACTATATTAATATAAATCAATATATGATATATATATATATGCCTCCATTGATAAAACCCCCCAAAAAAGTGGACTGTACTAATCAATATATGCGGGAATATCACGTGATCCATTAGTTTTTTTTTGGGAATCCCGTTCTCAACCATCCACGGTACGGAAAATTGAGCAGTGGCTAGTGTTCAAAACCCCTGTTGGTTGATGATTAGTTCGGGGATTAGAACCTACCCAGTATATTGGGGATTATGAATCATAATCCAAGAACGGGGAATCCCTAGAATCCAACCAGGATAATTAGTGGAATGATAAAGGGATGGCTATTTCACACTGCTCAATTTAGTGTCATTGAGTGGGGCCAATTCTGGCTAACAAATGGATTTGGAGGTATCATATTCTCAGACCAACCTATTTTAACCAGCTGAACATGGTGGTTGAAAGGAGAGAAGCGAAGACAGAGAAGTGAGAGCAGAGAAGTTCTTGACATCAACAGCCCATTCGTCTGGTCCCAGCCCAGTGAAAACTCATTCCCTACATCCATCATGGTTGATATTGGGTCAATGGCCATTTCAGAAACCTAAATCTTATATAAGGCCTATTTTTCAGGGCTAAATTTCAGGGAATATCCCCACAATTCATATGGCCCGAAATCTGGTACAGTCAGTGCCCCCATTTTAGGATCCTGGAATTCCCATTGATTGGGGGTGTTTAGTAGGGGAATGACTGAATCCATAACTATTCACAATCATCCCTTTCACCCATTCCCAAAGCACCAGTAAGAAGTGATAAGAGAAGTTCTTGACGTCAGCTTGAAAAAATATGGATTCATGATATAACTATCATATGGATGTACCTATCATATGGATATACCTATGGATGTCAATAACTATCATATGGACTATATGGAGGTTTCCTAAGTCATGGGGGTACCCCTGTTCATCATCCATTTATAGATGGGATTTTTCAAAAAACATCCATCTAGCTATTGGGTACCCCCATGACTTAGGAAACCTCCATATCCATCCGGGGGTTAAATGAACCCATATATCATGTTAGATACCCCCAGTCATCATGAATTTTAGTAGGATTTTCTATGAAATTAACCATTAACCATTATTACAGTAACCATCATTAATCACTGGTTGGTGGTTTCAAACATTTTTTATTTTCCATAATATATGGGATAATCCTTCCCATTGACTAATATTTTTCAGAGGGGTTGAAACCACCAACCAGATCATTATAACCATTAACCATTAATCATATGGATATATAACCATTAATAACCATTAACCATTATTTAGTAAGATATTTCATTATGAAATTAACCATTAATCATGATGGATATATACCGATCCAGCATGTCTCACCAGGAGCACCTCGAAGTGGAGTCGTTGGCCTCCACCGCAGTGGCAACTTGGCTTGCGATGACCCGTTTCGGGGCTCGTTTCGGGGCTCGTTTCGGGGCTCGTGACATAGGCTATTCGTTTCGGGTTTCCTAAACTTGGGGGTACCCCCATAGCTGGATGGTTTAGAATGGAAAATCCATAGATGATGATTTGGGGGTACCCTCTGGTAAACTAACAGTTTGCTATTGAAAATTGCCATTTTTAATGGGTAAATCAACGATTTCAATGGCCATTTTCAATAGCTAATGTTTGTTCACCAGAGGGTACCTCCATAGCTGGATGGTTTACAATGGAAAATCCATCGATAGATGGATGATGAACAGGGGTACCTCCATTCTAGGATATTTTAGGAAACCTCTATTTTAATGGGAGTTTAAGGGAACATCATTATGACAGAGTGATGGAAAAAAATGGTGAAAGAATTGGGAATATGAGGGATCTAATGGGAATACTGGGGATCTAATGGGAATCGAATAGGAATATGTAGTTAATTGTCATCTTTTCACCATGAGTGACAGGGAGATATCAAGCGAATCAATGGATTTTTTCACCGGACTTGTGGGACTTGAGGATAGAACGGGGACATTTCATGGGATTGTGGGACATTTCATGAAGAATACTGCGAGATGATTGACATATAATTTTTCAATGGATTGGTTTAAGGGAAAATGTACAGGAAAGCCCATTTTTTTTAATGGGAAAATCTAATTATGGTTTCCGGTTCCGATTTTCCCTTAAACCAATCCATTGAATTTTTGGGCATAGAACGGGACTATGTTTGGAAGGATGATGGCAATATTTCATTGGGAAGGATTTTAGGGAACAAGAAAATTATCACCGGTGATGCGAATATTGGGATATGATGGGCATATGATTGGATACAGCAAGGATATGATGGAGAAACTTAAAGGACCTAGGATGAGGGTATACCTTAAGCGGGGGATATACCGTATTCCAGCTACTGAATCTTGTAAGCCAATTTCCTATGATAGGTTGCAACCATGAAGGTTTTTGTGGATTACAAGCTTCACACACCTTTTCGTGTGAAAAGGGATGCCTTTCTATTCGGGAAGGTCTAGCGAACTTCAGGCTACCACGGTATGATACCAGGGTTGTGATCTCTAGCCCAAATCATCACATTTAGTCCCTGGTGTCATCAAACGTAGCAATTGAAAATCCACTAATTTAACATAGCTATTGAAAATGACCATAAAAATAGTGGATTTTCCCATTAAACATGGTGATTTTCCATAGCTATGTTAGTTTACCAGAGGGTAGTTCGATGATTTTCCCAGCTGTGTTCCTCCATTTCGCGGATTTTCTAGCTAGCCACATTTGATGACACCGGAGGGAATAGAGGGTTGTAGTCTAATTTTTAGCCTTGGAGATGATCATTGGGGTCATGCTGATGTTCAACTTAGAAGATGGCAACACTGTGCACATAAGGATTCTCTTGGTCAAGAACCACATATCCACAAGCAGCATCGATGCCAAACACACATGAAACACATATGAACCGAACAATATGAAATGGCAATGATTCAATGATATAGAAATATGCAACAGAACAAAAAACATCAGAAACGATATGGTCAAACTGCTTTAGATTCATGTTTTTTTGTCAAATCCCCCATGGCTGGGGAAGCACGGCGCGACGGCGCAACGCAACCGGCGCATCCGGCGTGCGTTTTTCAGGCGTTCAAGCGGAGGGATGGTCCGCTGTTGGAATGGGCAGCCGTGCAGGACGGGACGCTGAGGACATGCTGTGGTACTCATTCTTCGCCAATAGGAATTAATAATAGTTAATAATGGTTAGTAACGCCACAATAATGGTTAATTATGGTTAATAATTAATAGGATTCAGGATTAATAGTGGGATTGAAAATGGGATTACTGGTTGGTGGTTCGGAACATGAAGTTTATTTTTCCATAGATTGGGAATTTCATAATCCCAACTGACTTTCATATTTCCGGAGGAGTATATAGGTATACCACCAACCAGTCATTCTTTGCAATAGGAATGCGTTTTACATGTTTTGTTTTCTGACCCAAAGATGGTTAACTCGTAGTTAATTCATAGTTCCTCATTACTAGATAGTTGTCTTGTTGGGACTACGTGCTAGTATATCAACATAGGCATGGAAAATCCACAATTGTATATATATATAGATTATTTTCCCTGCGAAATCATGGGTTTTCTACATTTTTTTGTTTGTGTGTGTGTGTTGGCTGGAATTCTGAATCAACATGTCATGATAAAACCAACCATTACTGACACCAGATGAATCTGGTGTGCAACCCGTGCAATTGAACCAAGTATTAATAGGTATATACCATTATGATAAACTTTGGTTAAAAGTGTATAACATGGTTATATAAATATGGCGAATCCACAGAAGATTAATATCTTCCCTCATGGAAAAACGTCCACGTGGCATTTTCAGACAGACCCACGTCCTATTCTTGTTTGTTATATATATTATATATGTCATTATGTAATCCCATAAAAATATCCCCGTCATAAATATGATTTCTATACATGTATACAACATACTTCGCGCATATTGTATCCCCATGAAATTGCTGGGTGAAGTTCAGGGGGGTTTTTATCCTTCATTGTTTTCATCATTACAGTAATTCCCGTTTAAAATATCAAAGAATATCCGAGAAAATCTTCGAACATATCCCAAATTTGCTTCAGAACCTCATGTTTCCCATTAAAACCATGAAAATTGATGGTAGCCTCTGGTAAACATACAACGGAAAATCACAATGTATTTTTAATAGGTAAATCCATTTCAGTCTGCCATTTTGAATAGCAAACTGTAACAAAAAATACCAGAGGGTAAACTAACATAACTATGGAAAATCACCATTGTTAATGGGTAAATCAACGATTTCAATGGGCCATTTTCAATAGCTATGTTAGTCATTACCAACCATTTTGAATAGGTAAATCAACTATGAAATAATATGAATGTGGTATTTTCAATAGCTATGTAACAAATTGCCAGAGGGTATATCCATCAATATCCAAGTATTATCCCATCATTATCCCAGCAAATCATCCCATCATTAAACCATATTAACCATATTAAACCATATTAAACCACATTAAACCATATTAAACCATAGTAAACAGAGGGTATCCCCCATATCCCCGGTATCCCCGAGGAGTTGGAAGTCCTTGAGGCAAAGCACCTCGAGGAGCAACAACTTCAGAGGCTGCGGCAGCAGAGGCCCTGGATCCGCTGGGCCGCTTGGAAAACCATCTGTAGCTGGGAAAATCATCTGTTTCTATGGGTCATTTTCCATAGCCATGTTAAATAATCAGAGGTAATATATACCCTCTGGTAAATTAACAGTTGGACCCTGAAAATCACCATTTTTTCATGGAAACTAGTCTTCCAACCCCGATGACTGCCAGGGTCGAACTGTTAATTTACCAGAGGGTAACATGTAAGGAACAACAAAAAGGCAAAAATCAAAAACACATGAACATGGGTAATTGAAAAACTATGGGAAAAACCATGCGAAAACTGAGAACATGAATGGGAACAAAAATCAAACATGAACGTAATTGAACCGGAAACCATGGTTTTTTCCCATGAAATTCATCCGGGTTTCCTGTGATGTTTCCCTTAAACCAAACCGTTGAATGCATGAATCGACTGACAGTCGAGTCGGACGAGTCCTGGACGATGACCAGTGGACCATCAATCTCTGGTGTTTTTTCGCCTCAAATGATGGTGTTTTTGATAGGGAAACTATGGGAAACTATGGGAAACTATGGGAAAATAAACCTAAATTATCCCTATCAAAAATTATATACGAAGAAACCACTGGAATTTAGGAGTACCCCGATTTTGGATAAGTCCATACAGATAGATATGCGTATGACAAGTCTCATTGTCAAAGGCTTAAACCTTGTAACACACCCTGATAATTGAACACATATATGGACATCACCATTTTTAATGGGTGAAATCATGTATAGATGCGCCATTCATAGCTATGTCAAATGCTTGATTACCAGAAGGTAGTCCATATCCTACCTAACAAGATCCAGAATGTGACCATGACCATGTGTGGCTCTGCCCTCCCAGGGTTTTTCCATGGCTTCAGGACATTC